CATAAAATATTTCTTGTCAATTTAACCACCTTACTTCACATAATTTATCACATAAGACGCTTGTACGATTATGGGTAAAAGGAATCCATGTCATCGACTCCGACTATATCGCGGACTACACCAATGCTGTCCATATCTCCTCGTCTGATGCTTAACTAGAGACCAAGTTTAGGGTTCAACATAGTGCAATTAGACCGCCATCGCTGCGCGTGAAGACTCCACGCTAATCCGTGTACTTTTTAATCTCCGTATCAGCCTTACCAGCGTCGCTCGTTTGCCGTCTCTTGTCATCAACTCTTCAGTGTTGATTTGGCGACCGAAAAATCGTTGAAAGATGAAGCTGGTCAGGTAGGAACCACCCAATCACTTCGCTCCTCTGCGTTGTATGATTGAGCCAGAAGATTTCTAGCTCTCATCTTCTTAAACACTGGCAATTTGTTCATGGCATGAACTTGCAGGTTTCTTATGAAGCTGAACAACGAGACGGTGTCGATAGAGCTGAAGAACGGCACGATTGTACATGGAACTATTCTTGGTACGGCGCTTGAATCGCATTTTGCTCTTTTATCCCGTTGTTTCTCCATTCATCGTCAACCTTATCAGTGACGCGCTTCTCCCATACCAACCGGCTCATTGCTTCTCTTGTAATAAAAGGATGTTCGTCTCAAACTCCCCCTTTTTCCCGCCCTTCCTACTCGGGCTATGCGCGAATTTTCCCTCTTTCCTTTTGGCGGATCTGCCTTACTCCGTGAAAGCCCGTCGGTCTAAGATGCTGGCACCTTGACGATTGACAATTGTACGTAGTTGCAGAGGATAAAAAATACATCTTTCTATCATGCACCTTGTATCTTGTCTGATGCTTCCTTCGTTGTTTTTCCCATCGTCCGCCTCCCCCCCCCCCCCCCCCCCCCCCCCATTCCCCGTCTGCGTATTTTGCGGGCCAACCCCTTCAGGAGTGGACATCAGCATGAACACCACCTTAAAACAGTCAAGCTTACAGTCAAGGGAAAAAATCCAGTAGCGTTGGACCATTTAAGTGTACGGGGACACACAATTCGGTATTTCATCCTGCCCGACAGCTTGAATCTCGACACGCTATTGGTGGATGACGCACCCCGACGAAAGGCAAAGAAACAACCAGCAGGTATGGGCTGAAAGTTAACTCTTTAGTGTTCCCTCTTAGCTGTTTTTTTTCCAACTCCTTTACGGATGTTTTGCTGCTCAGCGAATTTGTTCGTGCCGACTTAAACTTTTGTTGTGTTTGGTTCTTGCAGGTCGGGGGGGGGCTCTGGGAAGAGGCAGGGGCCGAGGAAGGGGCAGGGGTCGTGGCCGTGGCCGTGGCTGACCACCATTTTGCAGGGCTGTCCTTATCATGCTTCAGGCAGGATGGACGCCAAAATTAACACGCATGCTAGTTCTTTCATGAACATAACACGCTGTAACGTACAATGTTGAATTCCCTAGGGCAAGTGCATTTCTCAAAATCATGAAAAGCATTGGGTGCTAAGCTGAGAGCAGTTATACTAGGTCCGCGTCGCGTGTATACGGGCCCAGTTATTCAATCCTCGCTAAGAGCAGTTTCCGCCAATCATCTCGGCACGGCACTCTCAAGGCCCAACCAGCGCGTTTCCCTGGGCTTTTTGTCGCTAGTCTCCCTCGCTTGTCTCGCCTGCCTCGCCTCGTCGCCTCGCTTCGCCATATAAATTCTCTCCCTCCCCCCCTCCCGCCTATACACCCATCCGCTGCCTTTTCCGTCCACAGCTCATCCCGCTCCCGACCCGACCCGATTCCCTCCCGACTCCCTCCTGGCTGTCTGCATGACCTCGCCTCTCGAACCACAGATGGCTCACTTTCCCGTCTCGCATTTCGTAGTCTCGGATGTAGGGTTTGCTCCGGGCCTCGACCTTCGCCTGAGCGCCGTGTCTTTCTGTCCGCTGATCGATAGCTGGTCGTTTCGTCGGGCTGAGCCGAGTTGTAGGCAGATCGGGCCAGTCTTGCAATTCCTTGGTCGTTTTGGTAACGGATTGCGTTTCAGGACCCAACCTGACAGGATTTTCCGTTCCGTCAGCAGCTGGAACCGTCCGTCCACCCTGACTGAAGCTCGTAGGTGCTCTTGCCCCATTCCTAGGCTCTCCACCCTTCATCCCGCGTTTCCAGCCAGATTAGCGTTTCTCACGTTTCTCGTTCCCCGAGCACCCGCCAATTCGTCCCGTGCTACTCGTAAGCAGCAGTTCCGCGGTTTCCCGTCGGAAATTCAAGCCCTCGTGCCGAATTTCCTCCTAGCTGGCTATGACAAGCTAGAACCTCCTACAGTCAGCCTCGCCAGCGTGATTTGTGCCAGATTGCTATGTGTCACCTCGTTCGCACAAGTTCTCTTCTGTCGATCGCGCACCGCGCGTCATTGTCCCCCCCGTTGCGTTCCCCGCATCCGGCTGGTCCTGCGCTTGTTTCGGGAAATCTTTGCTAGTTCTCCCACCACTGCTCCGTTACTTTCGCAACGGTTACGGGATCTCCGACGCTCTAGAACCTTTCCTCTGTCAATTAGGGTAGCGCCGTTGAAGCCTTGGTGTTACCCCCCGCACTTGCTGTTCGCTACCGCATAACAGCCCACCTCCGTTTCCTAACCGGCCACAGCCGCCAAGCTCTGTTTGTTTCCTCCCTGCGCTCTCAGGTCTCGTCTTGACATTGCTTCGTTCCGAATTCCCACCCATCCCTTCCGCCCCTTCCGCCCCTTCCGCCCCTTCCGCCCCTTCCGCCCCTTCCGCCCCTTTCGCCCCTTTCGTCCCGTTCGGCTCATCCTTAGGCCATGAGCCACCAGGAACGAGGACGTTTCCACGAATCAGCCAAACAACCTGCGCATTTCGACGGCTCCCAATGCCCTGCGGTGACAGCTGTCAGCGCGCCACTGGCTGGTTGTAAGAATCAGGCCGCCAATGACAGCGGTATTGAAGACGTTGTTGCTGGCCCTGGTGTTGTTTTTGCTGCTGCCGCCGCTGGCGCTTCAGTGGGCTCTCTTGGCAGTACTTCCACGGTAGTTGCTGCTCCTGCTGCTGCCGCTGCCACTGCTGATGCCACCGCTGCCGCCTCCGCTGCTGCTGCTGCTGCTGCTGCTGCTGCTGCAACAGCATTTGATACATCAGCTGAAGCAACAGCTGATGTGGCAGCCAAATCAAGAGCTAATACAACAGCCATTGTGGTTGTTGACATGGCACCTGCCTGCAGGGATTGACACTGCAGCCGAAGCAACAGATGGTGTGGCGGCTGAACCACGAGTTGATAACAGCAGCCTTAGTTGCGCTTGCGGCAGCACTTGCAGCAACTGACACCGCAGCGGAAGCAGCAGCTGACATGGCAGCAGAATCAGGAGCTGATGCAGCAGCCGAAGTGACTGCTGACGTGGCGATCAAATCAGCAATTGAGACAGCAGCCGTAGTGGCTGTCGGGGCGACACCTGCTGTGACTGACACTGCTGAAGCAACAGCTGACATAGCAGCAGAGGCAAGAGCTGACACAGCAGTTGAAATGGTTGTCGAGACGACACCTGCAATCCTTGACACGTCAGCTGAAGCAACAGCTGATGTGGCAGCCGGGTCAGCAATTGATACAGCAGCTGAACTGGCCGTTGAGGCGACTCCTGCAGGGGTTGCTACTGCAGCTGATGCAGAGGCGGACATGGCAGGCGAGTCAAGAGGTGATACAGCAGCGGAAGTGGCTGATGAGGGGTGTATCTCCATTGCTACACCTGCAGCAATGGACACCGCAGCGGCAGCAACAGCTGAGGTGGCAGCCGCATCAGCAAGAGACACAGCGACTGAAGTGGCCGTTGGGGCGTCACCTGCAGGGGTTGCCTCCACAGCTGAAGCAGAAGCAGACAAGAGGAGCCGCAAGCTGAGGAAAAAAAAGCGACTGGTGCGTGTGAGAGCTAGGTCTGCTGTCAGTTCGTTTATCGTTGCTTTTGAGGCGACACCTGCAGGGGTTGCCTCCACAGCTTTGTGGTGCGTCAGCCTTTCCTCAAGCAGTCCTTGGTATTCATGGGCATCCCATCCCATGTACATAGCTAGCTAGGCATGTGGGGTGAGTACAAGCATGCAACCTACCCCCCCTCCCCCGCTGGCTAACCTACGGGAGGGAGCTCTCCCGCGTGTTACAAGATGACAAAGCAGTTCGCAAGGGACATGCACTCATCAGGAGCCCCTAGGGCGGGCCCTTCGAGGGCTTGCCTCTCCCTCTTCCTGGTTATCTTTCTTTGCTTCTTCCCATCCTCTCTTTTTCATCGCCTTGTGATTCTCAAATAATATTTATATCTTTTGAGCCGATTCAAGACTCCTCCTTCTCATCCCCTTGCTGACTCTCCTTTCGTCGTCTCTTGCCGATAACATGGCAGGAGAGGAGGAGTACTTCTTCCTTTTGGGGTCGACTAATAACTCTCCTTTTCATCCCCTTGCCGGATATCCCTACCTCTCAGGCCGATGACATGGCAGGAGAGGAATATTTCTTCCTGCCCAGGAAAAAGCCAACCAGACGGCCGAAGAAACCCGTCCCGAACCACTTTCCGAACCTGCAACCGAGCCTGCTGGTGAACCTGCTACTGAGCCTGTGACAGAACCTGGTTCTGGACTCGCTATAAAGCCTGAACATGTGCTTCTATCGAGATTGGCTAAAGAAGCAGGGCGTGTAAGAGCGTAGTGGATTCGGAGCCAGTGAAGGAGGCTGTATCTAGGGAAGAATCAGGAACGCATCTATGGGCATCTGTTGAGGGCAGTGTGCGTCTGCAGCTACAGGAGCTGCCACTGCCACTGCAGCAGCAGCAACTGCAGCCGCAGCAGCAGCAGAAACAACAGCTGCTGCAACAACATCAGCAGCAGCAGCAGCAGAAGCAGAAGCAGCAGCAGCACCGCCACCATCAGAAGCAGCAGCAGCACCATCAGGACCATCAGCACCATCAGCACCATCAGCACCATCAGCACCATCAGCACCATCAGGACCATCAGCAGGCATGGCCTCAAAAGCTGAGCCTGACACAGCCAGATATACCTTGGGATCTCCAGGAGAGCAAGCCGACCAATAGAAACGTGCCACTTGGTGCATCGGGGACCGGTGATGAGAGACGATTTGACTCCGATGCTTCCTTAACACTAGGGGTACATGTGGCGGCTTGTACCGAAGGGGCTTATAAGGAGGGGACGCTGAAAGGGGGTTTTTTAAACGAGGAGGGTAATGGGTTGTTCCAAGAATCGAGGGAAGGGTGGAGGTGGTGGGGGGTAGACTTAGTACTGGAACAACGGGTGCTGAGGAGGGGGGTGGTGAAGAGAAAGTGAAGAAGTCAGCTTGTGTTGGTGCCTTTCCTCACTTGGAGCATCATTGCTCGTCTGGGATCGCGGGCAGCGAAGGCAGCGAGGGAAAGGGAGTGAGGGGGGGAAAGGGGGGGGAGATTGTACAGTGGCCAAAGAAAAGGCAGGAGGCAGAACGAAGGCAGGAGGCAGAACGAAGGCAGGAGGCAAAGCAAGGCTAGGAGGCAAAGAAAAGGCAGGAGGCAGAACGAAGGCAGGAGGCAAAGAAAAGGAAGGAGGGAGGGCGAAAGGCGGAAGCTTGGTGGAAGAGGATGGTAGAAAGGGCAAGCCCAAGGGTGTACGGGTCCCCAAGGCACCGAAAAAGCATGAGGATGCAGGGGGGGGTGCATCAGGTGGGGGGGTGACGAAGGTCAAGGTCAAGGTCAAGGGAAAGGGACAGGGGGGAAAGAAGAGAGGGATTGCAGCGGTCCTGGGTGATGCGGTTGGATCTGGTGCTTCTGCTGCAGGTGCTTCTGGTGCAGGTGCTTCTGGTGCAGGTGCTTCTGGTGCAGGTGCTTCTGGTGCAGGTGCTTCTGGTGCAGGTGCTTCTGGTGCAGGTGCTTCTGGTGCAGGTGCTTCTGGTGCAGGTGCTTCTGGTGCAGGTGCTTCTGGTGCAGGTGCTTCTGGTGCAGGTGCTTCTGCTGCAGGTGGCTTGGTGGTTGGGGCCTATACCGTGGATGGTTCTGGTGCAGGTGCTTCTGGGGCAGGCGGTTCTGGTGCAGGTGGCTCTAATGCAGCTTCTTCTGGCAGGAAGAGACCACGAGAGGAGGTGGGTGGGGAGGAGGCGCAGAGAGAGGGGGGAGAAGGGGAGGAATTGGGTGGCCAAGGAGCAGAATGGAAGGAGTTGGAAGGGGAGGTAAGTGAAGAGAATGGGCCACATAAGAAGGAGCTGGAAGGGGGGGAGGAGCAAGGGAGGGTGGGTGACTTAGGGGAGGAGGGGGACATGCCAGGGCATAGGCCTACTTCGTTAGGGAACCTACTAGGGCTGGAGAAGTGTTCTAGTGGTAAATTGCCTGGCACACCTTTAGGTGAGACAGAGGGCACGATCGTGGCGGGAAGACCAGCAGGTAACGGGACAGGGAAAGCGAGAGGGACTGCCAAAGGCGGTGGCACAGGCAAAGCAGCGAGCAGAGGGAAGGAAGGTGTTATCTGTGCAGGCCAGCGATCAGGGAAATCTGGTGGCAGGGTAGCTGGTAGAGCTGCTGGTAAAGCACCTGGGAAATCTCCTGGCGGCAAGGCACCTGCTGGGGTAGCTGCTGACAAAGCACCAGCAGAAAAACTGCCTGGCAAACGGATGGGAGTTTCAGCAGCCAACCCGCCAAGCAAGGCTCAACGGAAAACTCCAGGCAAATCATCCGTCAAAAAAGCAACAGCACCCCGGGGTCCTCCCCCTCCTCCCCCTCCGCCCCCACCTCCCCCTCCTCCACCTCTACCAAACCGTGCTTCGACTTCCTCCTCCCCGAAATCAGCATAGGGGATCTGATCGCTGTGTGGGACGTGTGCTGCCGCTTCTCCCACGCCCTCCGCCTCTCGCCCTTCTCCCTCTCCTCGCTCGAGCTCTCCCTTGCGTTCCAAGATGGGGATGGGGATGGGGGGGGAGGGACGGTCAGAAGCCACGGGAACCATCCCTGGCGTTTCGTGATGGGGACGGGAATGGGGGGGAAGGGGTGGCGCAGATTCCTAAGGAGCTCTCCCTGGCGTTCCAAGACGGGGATGGGGGGGGAGAGATGGCTCAGAAGCCAGTAGAACACCGCCTTTCCCCTGCTGTTTGCGATGGGGATGGTGGGGGGGGGGAGATGGTGCATACTCCACTCGAGCTCTCCCGTTGCATAACCCAACATGGGGATGGGGGGGGAGAGACGGGTCAGAGGCCAATGGAACGCCGCCTTTCCCCTGCAGTTTGTGACGAGGATGGGGGAGGAGAGACGGGTCAGAAGCCAATTGAGCACTCCATTGCTGTTTGTGAGGGTGATGTGGGAGAGGGGAGGGGAAGGGGGGGCGCAGGGGGGCAGGAGGAGGAGAAAGTACAGGCCAGGGGAGCGCAGCAGGAGATAGAAGGGGAGGGTGAGGAAGAGCAGGGGGAGAAGCAGGGAGCGGAGCAGGGGGGGGGCAGGGGGAGAAGCAGGGGGAAGAGCAGGGGGAAGAGCAGGGGGGAGAGCAGGGGGAAGAGCAGGGGGAAGAGCAGGGGGAAGAGCAAGAAATGAGGCAGGAGGAGGGGGAGCAAAGAGAGGAGAGTTTGGAGGAGGGATTTCTGGCCACAGGGTGGGGGAAGGGGAGGGGCTTGAGGGGAGGCGGGATGGAGGAGGAAGGGAAGGTGGTGGGAGTGAGAGAGGCGAGAGGGAGAGAAGAGGGGGCGGAAGTAGGGGGAGAGGCAGAGGAGGAGGGAGTGAGAGAGGGGGGAGGCAGGGAGGAGGGAGGCGGAGAGAGGTTGTGTTACCGCCGCTGTTGGGTGAGGTGCACACTGCACTGCTGCGGGCTGCTTTGAGCCAGAAATGCATCCGAGAGGAGTTTGCAATGCAACGGCAGGGGAAACGCGAGGTGTGTATTGTTAGGCATGGGAGGGAGCTGTACTTACAACAGTATTCAGGGTTCAGGTTGAGGGTTTAGTATTCGGCATATATTATGATTGAGACGAACTTTGAGGCATCTAAGAAGTCATCTTGTGGCAGTAATTGACACGTGTTGTGGTTGGGCATGTGAGTTGAGCGTGTATTTGAGGTTTTCTCAAACGATGGGTTAAATGGCTCCCAAAGCTCCTCCTCTCTCCTCACTTCCCCCCATACTTGGCTTGAGGACCTGCCTGCATGGGCCCGCACCCCTTCTGTGCGAGCCAGACTGGAGAGGCACAGATTGATGCTCAACGGTCATCAGCTGGTTTGTTACGTTTCCTACCCCCCCCCCCCCCCCCCCCCTTCCCTCCAGGTAGCCCCCCACACTTGGCTTGAGGACCTGTCTGCTTGGGCCCGCACCCCTTCAGCATGAGCCAGACTGGAGCAGCACAGCCAGACTGATCCTCAAAACGGTCTCCAGCTGGTTTCCTGCTTCCCCCCCCCCGCCCCCCCCCTTCTTCTCCAGGTATCCCCACACACTTGGCTTGAGGACCTGTCTGCTTGGATCCGCACCCCTTCAGCGCGAGCCAGACTGGAGCAGCACAGCTTGATGCTCACTCGTGCGCATCCATCTCCGGCACATGGATCCAACGGTGTAGAGCTTGCGGAGGCCCATGCATCCAACGGTGGAAAGCTCCTGAGCGTGGCGAAGTGCATGGGCCGCGGGGGCAGTACTGGTGCTGCTAATACTGCTGGTGCTGGTGCTGCTAATACTGCTGGTGCTGGTGCTGCTAATACTGCTGGTGCTGGTGCTGCTAATACTGCTGGTGCTGGTGTTGGTGCTGGTGCTGGTGCTGGTGCTGGTGATGGTGCTGGTGATGGTGGTGGTGCTGGTGCTGCTGCTGGTGCTGGTGGTGGTGCTGGTGCTGGTGCTGGTGCTGGTGATGGTGGTGGTGGTGGTGGTGCTACTGCTGCTGCTGCTGCTCTTGATGCTGATACTGGTGCTGATGCGGATGGTGCTACGAGTGCTGGCTGTAGTGGTTCTGGCCATGGCAGTGGGGGGATATCAGCTGTTGCTTCTAGTGGTATACACATACACCTTAGTGACTCTCCAGGGTACTCTCCTCTTCCAATTGACATTCTTCCGAGCCACTATTCCAGGCTTGGTGCCGAAGCGAAGCTGCTCTTGCTTCGGGAGCTGGTGGACGCCGCACTCGAGGGGGACATTCTCCGGGCAGCCATTGAAAGAAAACTTGTGGATATGGACGAGGTGGCAGGGCAGAAGAAAGTTTTGGGGGAGGAGGAGAGGGCGTGCAGGGAGAAAGCAGCATTGCGTGAGAGAGTGAGAATGAGGGAGAGAGAGGAGAGGGAGAGGGAGAGGAGGGAACGGGAGGAGAGGGTGAGGAGGGAAGAGGAGGAGAGGAGGTGGAGGGAGGAGAGGGAGAGGAGGCGGGAATGGGGAGTGAGGCAGCAGCGGTCTCGTAGCAACCTCCTCGAGAGGTTACCTAGTAGCAGTGCAGTACCTGTTGGTGTCAATTCGAGTGTTACAGTTGATGCTAGTGCGGGCGTTGATGCTGCTGTGTGCGTCGATACTACCAGTTTGAACGCCCCTGTGAGCGGCAGTGACAATGCTGGTGTGCCGCCCAGAGTTCAGTCCCTGCAATCCCTGCAGCAGCCCTCCCTGCCGCCCTCCCTGCCGCCCTCCCTGCCGCCCTCCGTGCCGCCCTTCCTGCCGCCCTCCAGCCTGCCATCAGTGAGAAGCAGTCCTGCTAGTGATGCTCCCTCCGCCACCCCTCTTGCCATGCTTGGACTTGCTGCTGCTGATGCTGGTGCTGGTGCTGATGCTACTTCTGCTGATGCTGGTGCTGATGCTGCTTCTGCTTATTCTGGTGCTGCTACATCTTCTGCTTATGCTGCTGCTGCGTCTGCGGCTCCTGTTTGTACTCCCACTGCTGTTGGTGCTGCTGCCACAGCCGCTACAGCCCTAGATGCAGAATCACCCTCTGCCGCCTCATTAGCTTCACGCCAGGGTAGGAAGCGGGGGCTTTCCTGGCCGGCCAGTAGCAGAAGTACACCTGGCAAACACCGAAGGCAGTCATTAGGGAGGGGCTTCACTGGTGAGGCAACCGGGGGGGTGGAGGGGGGTGGTAAAGAAGAGGAGGGAGGAGGGAAGGAGGGTGTGGAGGGAGGGATAGTGGGCCGGAGTGCGAGAGGGAAAGGGAAGGGTGAGAAGGGGGAGAGGGAGAGGAGGGAGTGGGAGGAGAAGGAGGGGAGGTGGAGGCAAGAGGAGGAAGAGGAGGCGGCTGAGAAACAGCAACTTCAGAAGAAGGTGGGTGGTGCGATAGGACATGCAGTACATGGCGTAAGCTAGTTTTGAGCAGTCGGCGTAGAGCAGAGCTGCGGAATACCTGTTCTGAGATGCAAAACTTTACTATTATCACACGAGGTGGAGGCGAGAGGAGGAAGAGGAGGCGGCTGAGAAACAGCAACTGCAAGGTAGGTAGCTGGTGCGATAGGACATGCAGTGACTTTTGAGTTGACTTAAAGTCACTAGGTAGGTGGTGTATTTTTTAGGCGCCTCAAGAAAGGACTGCAGAAGACGAGAGTTGGTGCGAGGGGACATGGAGTGCGTGGTGTACAAGCAGTGTAGAGCAGAGCTGTGTAACATTAGTTTTGAGACGTCTCAAAACTTCACTAATATCACACGAGGTGAAGGTGCGGGGAGGAAGAGGAGTTAGCCGAGAAGCAGCAGCAAAGGAAGAAGGTATGTGGTGTAACAGCAGTGCGTAGCGCAGCATGTTAAACACAGCATGTTACACACAGCATGTCAAACACAGCATGTTAAGCACAGCATGTTAAACACAGCATGTTAAGCACAGCATGTTAAACACAGCATGTTAAGCACAGCATGTTAAACACAGCATGTTACACACAGCATGTTAAGCGCAGCATGTTAAGCACAGCATGTTAAACACAGCATGTTAAGCACAGCATGTTACGCACAGCATGTTAAGCACAGCATGTTACACACAGCATGTTAAGCACAGCATGTTACTGCGTAACATATAACACACAGCATGTTACACACAGCATGTTACTGCGTAACATATATGCGGCCCACCAAGCAGCAACTGTACAAGAAGGTCCGTGGTGTAACATCAGTGTACAGCTGCGTAACATGTGTTTTGTTTTTGAGAATTCTCAAAAACAGATAACACCAGTGTACAGCTGCGTAACACAGCAGGGCGAGTGACTCCTCTGGGTTTTGACTGGCAAGAAAACTCCCGAACTCCTCTCCCCACCCATACCTTTTTAATCGGCACCATTTGAGGAACTGGATAGTGCGGCAGAGAAAGCAGCACTGCAAATTGAACCTTTGAGTCGGCTCAAAAGTCTCCTCTTCCTTGCCCCCCACCCATCCCTTTGAACACCAGTTGGCACTGTGGACTGCTCCTCCGTTTTTTAGCCGCCTTAAGAACAACTTCTCTCGTCCCCTCCGTTCCTTCCCCCTCGTATCATTCACGACCAGTGTAGGGGGGAGCAGAGAAAGCGTCAATCCAGATCGGACTTTTGGGGTGCGACTGGCAAGAAAATCCCGAAACCCACTGGCTCCGCGCCCCCCCCGCCCTCCTTTCTCCATCCCTTTCCGACCAGTTTAGGGAGCTGGATAGGGAAGCGGAGAAAGCGGCAATGCGGAGTACAGCTCTGGGGTGCGACCGGGACGGCAGGCGGTACTGGTGGTTTGCGAGGGAGGCGAGGGTGTTTGTGGAGGGGGTGGGAGGGGGGGGATGGGGATACTACAGCTCTGCTGACGAGGTGAGAGCGAGGTAA